ACTATTAAATATACTTCTAATTAAAGTTGTAGCTTATATTTTGGCTACAAATTTCTATAAGATTCTTTATAGTTATGATCAATACTTATTGAAATCGAATAATTATAAAGTTATAGTTTTAAAATTCAAATTTTGAAAAATTTTCTTTAAGTTAAATTTTTTTCAACAAATATCTATCTAATTTCAACATAAAAGATATTATATGAAAGGTCAGAATTAGAGGAATAAAACAAAAAAAAATTGATCCAATTTAATAAATTAGATCATGAGTTATTAGCAAATAAAAATTTATTTAAAAAATATGAATTTTTAGGTGATCAGATACTTTTGGCAAGGGAGTGTATAATGATCCTTCAATTTTCTCAATTTTCACCTTCAAAACCTGGAGATATTAATATTGACTCAATTGGAGATTTATATGAGGCTATTTTAGATTGTTTTGAGAAATTAGATTTTAAAATTAAATATTATACATAAAATCAGATAATTATTTTTTTTTTTAAGTATAAAATTTATTTCTAAAAGTTAAAGTTATTTACAACATATTAATTCTTTAAAAAGCTATTGAATTAATTTAAATTCAGGTACTGTATTATAATTCAATAATAATTTTTATTTTATTTTTGTAAACAATTATTTATTCCTTGAATTAAATAAGAAGAAGGATCATGATCCAAAGCAGAAGATCAGGCCTCTCATTTCAAACATTTCAAAAAAGTTATAAATTAATTAAAGATAATGCTAGGCAAAACCTATAAACTTTGACCTGTTATTGATAATCCAGTTAGGTCGTAAGTATTTTTTCTGAAATTACTTTATTCTAATAACAATTTATTGTAATAATCATTCATTATAATATTATTATAATAGAACTTACATGGATCCAAAAATTCAAGAAATTGCCATACATCTTATTCCTATTTGATGTTAATGTTACAAAATGTTTGGAATACCAAATTTATTGAAGATGAAAAGAAAATAAATGAGTGTATAATTGGAGAATTACCTACATTGATACGTGGTGTTTTAAAACCTATTGTGATGTTACTTACTGGTATGTATATATGTGTATTATTTTTTTTTTTTTGATAAAGTTTTTACTATAATAGTTTTTTATTTAAATATATTAGAAACCCCTGTTTCTACTAATCAATACGCGAAAGTCACCTTTAGATTTTATGATTTTAATGAAAGTAAAAATTATCCAAAACAACAACTTAAAAATATTATTAACTTAGCTTATAAAACAAATGATACAGAAATAAATAATATATTAAAAAATGTAAGTAAAGTAGTTGAGTTATTACCCGAAGCATTTCTTAAATGACATTTTGAATATTGATAATTTCTTCAACAATTATATCAGATAATATTTTTTTTGTCTATAAATAAATACATTTATAAAAAAATAAAGTGTATATATATTTTTGTTAAAATTATAAAATTATAATAACATAAAGAGTTGCACTTGATCTAAATATAAATTCAAAAGTTATTAATTCAATTAATTTACAAGTTTATAATGAGACTAATTAAGTATACAAATTTAAATAATACTTAATCATCTTGATAAGATACATTCAAATTTAAATTTTTAATTTTGAAATAAAATTTATATTGATAAAACTTCTCTCTAAGTGACCTTTATTAAAGATAGACTAATTAAAATGAAAAACCTTCATCTCAAAGAGTTAAATCTAGAGATTTAAAGTTATAAAAGTTCACAACTATTGTAGAATTGTAGATTTATATTACCTTTCATTCAAAAAATCTACAATATTGAAGACTTGTAAAATAATTGTAGACATTATCTTTAGTAGCAACAACAAAAACAGAAATAGGCAACATCATTACACTATCATCTTTATCAACTCCTGCTAGAAAGAAATGAAGAAAAACTGCTGGAGTTAAAGATCATTCCAATGGTAATAATTCAAATTCCTTTAAAATGGTTTACAATATACAATGATTTTAAAATTGATACATTATTTTTTTATTTTAGATAAGGTCTCTCTCACTCATAAAGATATTAAAATCTTTAAATAAATTATAAAAAATGAATACAAGACATTTGAAAAAAGAAAAATAAGTTTTTAATATGTGGAAAAAAGTGATATGAAGGTCAAGTCAGATTATATACATAATAAGGAATTTATAAGTGTAAGTATTTTATTTGTAATTTTTTTAAAAGGAATCAATTTTTACTTTTTCAAAATAATTTGAAATAGAAACTCACCTGGGAATTTGCTAATATAACAATAGTGAAAAAATATATTCAGACTAAAGATACTTACCACAATTCTTCATGAGAGTTGCAATCAATTGTACCATGTGGTGTAATTAATTACAACTTTTCCTTTTCTTTTTTGAATTACATCAAATATATTATTAATCCAGGTGAAAGTTATTTAAAAAAATCTGTTACTAATTATATGAATAAATACCTAGAATATATATGTTCTCAAAATTGATTTCTGATTTTTGGAGATATTTTGTCTTTTTGAAATTTATTTAGAATCTATTCTTATATGGAAGTAAAAAAATACCTAGTTAAGTGTATCTTTAATCAAAGAATTTATCTGAATAGTCAAAAAATTTGAGTTTTAAGAAAATAATTTTGTCTTCTATGAAAAACTATTTTAACTTTTTTCTCTAAAATTGTAATTTTGGGACTCCAAAATAATTTTGTGTGCAAGTATCCCTTAATTCATCAAGTGGACAAATTTTTCACTAAAACATAATAGCATGTGAAAACTGATGGTTCAAGAGATAATTTGAAGTATTTTGAAAGAACTAAATTCTTGAGTTGTACCAAATTTCACCTGTCAGCAGTTACCAATTATCATTAGGAAAATTGATGTAATGGTAAAATTGATGATATTGGTGATATTGAAGAAATAGAAGTAATTGGTTGAATTGGTGAAACTGGTGAAATAGTGAAACTATGATATGACAAACTAGTTTCTCTATTGTTAAATTACAAAATCGTGTATACAAAAATGTAAAAAATTTTAAATTACAGTGTAAAACCTTTATAATAAGAACTTAGTTATAATAAAAATTGTTTAGCCTTTTTGCATTAAAACTTTATTTATTATATATAGAAATAAAATTTTAACTGTAGAAATTGATAGTTCAGAATCTAAGCTTTTAGAATTATTGGTTAAAATTTTGATCTAACTTAAATTGATTAACTTTTACTGGAGTTGAAGTTCCTGTATTTAATTATACCTATCAAATTTGAAAATATACTAAAAATAGTTATCTGTTAAAATACCATTGACAAAAGTTTTATAATTTTAAGTAAACACGTGAATATATTTTCTTGAATTTATTGGCTAAAATTGCATCATGTGATGCATACATAAACCAAGAAAATTGAGAAATTTTTTTTTTCCATAAATAGTTCCTACATTTCAAATACTATAATATAAAGCATTTTATTTAAGATTTTCTAAGTTCCTATTATAGAGGTTCTGCACTGTATTACAATTATTATATAATCAATATTCGATTATATATTGTATCGGTTAATAATTATTATCGATATTCTTATCGGGTATCGATAATAATTATTCAATAATTTACTATAATTAAATTTGATTTTGTGCAATGGAGAGCGGTTTTCCACTAAGCTTCATAATTGTAATTAAATTGTCTTTCTAGCATCAATATTAGTCAAGCCATTACATCCGAAAACAATGTATTAAATATTAAACTGGAGTAATAAAAAGTTACTAATCACAATGCGGAAGTTAAGAAAATCATTTTATGATTTTAGATAATAAAAAATAAAAAAATGCTAATTCGTCTTCATTCTTTAGATATTCCAGCTCGTGTATTATTTTCTATTACCTTTATTCCTAATATTTCTGTGGCAATAATACTAATAATCTGTAATAATAATTCTGTCCCAATATTTTTGTTGTAAATAGTTCTTGTATTATTAAAAATAATGTTTAAATATTACAATGAAAATATTAACATAAAAAGAATATATTATTAAAATCTCTGTAAATGAATAATTAAAAATTTCTCTTAATTTAGCATTTAATTTCTTGATAAAAATTTGTTTGAAATTTCAAATCAAATATGGAAACATTGTAACTTTTCATCACCATCAACTGAATTATACTGCCTGCTATAAAACTTGCTACATCTTCTGAAGCTAATAACGTAGCATATTTAATACTCCCTGTTCATTAAATGGATAAATATTAAATAAAATAAATATATATATAAAATATAATTTAATATACATGTGTTTATACAGTATTTATATTCTCTTAATTTCTACAGCGAAAAGATCGAAAGGATGAATTTTAAATTGCTGCATCAACAACTTTTATTATTTCTTTGGTTTACACGTTTGCAGCCATTGTGCTAATAACAGGTTGCAGGGTTTAACCATGATTCTTTTTGCATCCTTATCAAGTTTTTGACTAACGAATCATCAATATTCTAATAATAATATTATTATTTCAAAGCAATGATGATAAAGACGACAATACTACATGTATGCTCTACTTTCTACTTGTAATAAGAACAGCTTTAGCATCTTGCCTTAACCCACCTTTTATAATTTATAATTATGAATTAAAAAAAAAAGCTTTTCGATCATTTTAATTTTTAATAACAAACCCCAATTACAAAAGAAACTTTTCATTTTAAAAAATTTGTTTCTCTGTCATTTTTTTTTAAAAAAAAAATTAACAGTTTTTTTAAATACTAACATTATTGTTTAGCTTTATTTATAGCATCAAAAATATAATTTGTACAATTTTGAAATATAGAAAAATATAGATTGAAAATTATCAGATGACATTGTCGAAGAACGCGACTTAAGATATCGTGATAATTATATTGATTTGAAAATATGTGTAGTAATAGGAGATTTGAATTGAAATTTCTAAATACAGGGAGAGAAATGTTAGATATATACGTTATATATAGTCTTGAGATTTCTTATTAGAGATGATAACTTACATAAAACGATGATTTTGATAGCAACACCTATTTTATTGCATCATTTATTGAAATTATAATTATCTAATAAAATAAACAAAGAGACAAATTTTAGCAATTTTCATTTTTTTAAGAATAAATGAATACAAAATTTTTATACGAACTTGGTGCGTTCACAAGTGCAGGCATTTGCTTCGCATTTACAGTTGGCACCGCATTTACAACTTTCACAAGAGTCCATGGCTAATAAAATGTGAAAAGATATTGAAAGATTTGTTGAGAATTGAAAGATTTGTTGAGAGTTTAAAGATTTTAAAGATTTCAAGGATTTCAAAGAATTCGACACTGAAGGATAGTAAGGAGAAGATAGTGCGTTTTTATAATGATTTTTCAACTAATAATTGGCAAAAATGTCTCATTTGTTTATCGTACAATTCTTTACTATTGTTACCCTATCAGACCACTAATATTATTCCTTTGTTAATCAGGCAAAAATGCCTCATTTATCTTTATCAATCAGGATTATGTCATCTAATAACTAATCGTTTTTAATCAGGCAAAAATGCCTCATTCGGTATCCAATAACTTTTATCCGAGAAAATCTTTACATTTATATAAAGACTTTTATACGTACTATGGAGGACTATTATCAGATGACTGGGTACATATGGTTAATCGGAATACAATACGATTTATGATTGTTTCTGAATTGGTAATTCATTTTAATATAAATTTATTCATGTGATCTAATATACTGTTGAATTGCGTAGCGTAAAGGTATTATCAGCTAATTAAAAGATTTGACTGATAATTTGTTATCCAATAAAGTTATAGTTCTTCCTTACTAATAAAAAAAATAATAATATTTGGGTTTTTCCTATTTTGAGACATACATAATAATGTGTAAATCTCCAGATAAAATTAAAATTTTTATCTAAAAAAAGTCAAAAGATTGTTAACAAGCACATTATTAACATTTATTTACATACGTTAATAAAAATATCGAGTTTTTTTTTTGGTTTTGGATTTTTTCAAAATATATCTCTTCAAATATAGATATCTTTCTGAGATCTATTTTTGAAATCGACATTTTTCAATTATTCCAAAAATATATTTTTGTAAATATTCAAAAATGCAAAGCCAAGATCAACGCTTATATGAATAACAACTAAAATAAAATTGATAAGTATAAAATAAAACTGAAAGTGCCATTGAGAGCTTTGATATCCATTTCTGGTACATGACAATCAGTGGTAGAGCACAAAGGCAGAATAAAATGTTTCTTTTCGGGACTATATATTAGCAAAATGACCAAAGGGAGGATGTTGTCAAGATATTGGGCAGACATCATAACCAGAATCT